CTTTCTGTTCCAAAACTGGGACAGCCCCAGGCAAACCAGGATGGTTGATCACCCTCATTACCCTAGAAACAGAGAGATCTGGATTCAAATTCCACGTTGGTCACATATTTTTGTGACCCTGAACAAAATATCACTTGATGACTGGCAACTCTCACCTGTAAAATTGGGGTAAAAATATTTGTTGCATAGAGTTTTTTTTAAAAAGGACTTAAGAAACTGCGGCTCAGGCTTGGCGCATGGAGAACTAGATCAACATGAGCTCTTTCTCTTTCCCTCACCTTCCTTTCCAACACTCCTGCCACAGAAGACGCATTGTTCTTTCATTGATAAGAAACCTTGGATGCTGATGCTTTAGTAAACTTGCTCCAGGCAACAGAGCAGAAATAGTGAAATCAGGGCTCCATGCAGCCCTGAAAAAGATCAGAAGATGCTGTGTTCCGTGCTTTTGACACTATACTCAATTCCATTTCAAGTGCCAAGGAAAATTTGAAAAGTGGCCATTCATAGGAAATTTTATAACACTTTCATAGTACTAAATCTAGGGCTTTTTTGAATGGTATTTTCTTTTCCTATCTCAGCACCGTGCAGATAACATGTTTCAGTTGGTGCAAACATTAGGATGGCCCATAAAATTTTATATTTTAGCCGATTTATTCTCTTTGTATATTCATTAGATTTTAAATGTATATAGAACTCCTTCCTATCTCCTTTTTTTTGTTTTTGGTTTTGGTTTTGGTTGTGGTTTTGGTTTTGGTTTTTAACTGTCAGAGTAAAGATATTTGGTATCAGTGATTACAGAAATGTGTTACTGAATAGTGTCTGCTAACTGCTGGGCATGACAAACATGTTTAAAATGCATATTTCATTTTCCTCCTGAAAAATAAGTCTCAATAAGGATACATTTCAAATGAGATAAAAAAGCGCATTTGGAAAATGGGCCATAAAAATGTTTTCCCAGGTTTCTTCTTCAAGTGTGGTGTGAGGCAACTGTGACAGAGGACACAGAGCATCACGGCACCCCCCACTGAAATGTACATTTCCAGCTCAGATGAGGGGTTTCACAGAACATAAACATCACGGCAGAGATGATACATTTGTTTTCAGAGGAGATTGTTACATTGCCGTCATGTTCCCTGCAAGTTAATTTACATCTAGTTAGTGAATGGTAGAATAAAACTGAAATATTTCACTGTCCAATCAAAAATGTGAACATATTTGTTTAGAAAAATAAATGAGCCACAGATGCAGAACATAAACAAGAAGGAACTCCGTTACAGAGGCTTTTGATTTCCTCTTAGCCCAGAATTGTGTCTCCACGATGGTGACTTTTAATTTAAAGTGATAATAGGCTTGAGACTTGATTAGATTTGAACATTCGAGAAAGGTTGGAAGGATTTTTCTTCTTGGCGGGCTTACGCTTTGAATCATAATGAAAACACGCTGCATTGGACTTAAATGCTTTTAGTTCATTCAACCTAGTCTTATTTTTTAATGGAGTTCACCAGCATTTATAGAGCTCTAAAACATTCAGCAGATGGCTTTATAGATTTCTCATAGTAATGTGAGCAGTCAGACTCAATGAAGATTTCGGCTTTTAACTATGATCTTTACTCTTGAACACAAGCAAACTGCGGCCCTAGTTTCTGTTTCTGATTCCCTGACCTAAACTTCATCACAAGAATTAAATTGGCAACGGACTGATTGCTGTAAAGGAAAGCAATTTAACCAGTGTTTCCCCCACCCCACCCAGGAGATTAGAAACAAACACATAAGTGAGGCAGATAAATCCTAATGTAGTATCTCTATTTCTCCAAGGAGCCTTTTCTTCAGTAGGTATGATTTAAAACAATGCTTTTGATATTATATGATTTTTTAAATTACCTTTAAAAAAATCTACATGGATATTGTAGAATTGTTAGAAAAGAAATATCATCATGTGTGTTTCCTCCCTAGTATTATTACCATTTCATTTATTTTTCTTTCATTTTTCTGTTGAAGATATATCACCATTTTTTGTTACTCTCATTTTTTTGTTGAAAAAAATTTAGTTGTAATAATGTTTTTCTCTTATAGCTAGCATTATTGGTATTCTCACATTACCTTTATTAGTAGAACTTTTTAATGGCTGCATAATACTTCCACAAGGCAAAAAGCATAGTTTTTAAGCATTCCTTTACTGTCAACAATTTAGATTCTTTCTAATTTTTGCATATTACCAATGACACTGAAATTAATATCTTTGTGGGAAAATTCTCTGTATTTGAGAATATTTTCTTGGGATAGCTTCCCAGAAATTACACTTTCAATCCAGGAATATAAGTTGCCTAAATTGCGTATATAATACAGTGTCTTTTGCTGATTTCTTGCATGTACAATTTGAAGGAAAGAGTTGCAGATCTGGGGAAAAAATGGCAGTGGGTTTTATTTAGAGCCATCTGGTAGAGGTATTTGCAGGAAACTCAAGTGCAAACATCCAGAGATAATCTAGATTTGTCAAGAAAGACTCATATATAGGCCTGCAATGACACTGCTTAACTGGCAGTAGCATATGAGACGAAATTTTAGTGAGAAAATTTAGCAGTAAATGCAAATGTCTTATTACCATTAACAGTACCCAATCACTGTCATGTGGGCTCAAAATCAGTTTCTCTTTTTCTTCTGTCTTCCTCCCAACTTTCCCATCAAATCTGATTCATTCATATGATAAAGTTAAACTGATTCAACTAAACTGAGTCATGCAAAGATTAAGTGATAACTTCACAGTACCATTTTTAGTGTTAAAAATGTGGCATCTTAAAAAAACTTCTGGATGTGGGGAGGGGATAATTCATACCCCATAAATTATTTTCTCATTTGCCTGATTGTAATATCTCTCATATTAAAAATAATCAAGATAGACATCTATCCACCATTGGACTGATTTATAACACTATTGTGGTATATTGCAATTATCTGTTTATGTATCTTTTCATCGAACTGAGAGACATGTAAGTCCCATAAAGATATAATCCATATCAACATCTCTGACCCCCCTTCCTTCCTTCCTCCTTTCCTATTGAGTCTCCACAGAGTGCCCAACCCTGCCCTGAGCTCTGAGAATTCAGTGGTGACAGAGAAGTTTTCCACTTCCCTGGAGTAACTATTCTAGTGGCGAAGAAAGATGAAATAAACAAAAACTACACAGAGAAGATGTTCAGATACTGGTAGAGACTCTGAAGGAAATAAACAAGGGCACAACAAGGTGAAGGAGAGTGACCAGGAGTGGGCTGAGCAGGAGGGATACCACTGGGGAAGTCATGTCTGGGCCACAGGTGTAATTTAAAGCCATGGACTGAATGAGATCACTTAGAACAAAGAGGGTTGATGTGAAATGGAAATTCCCCTTAACAAATGGGAAAAGATGGTGGAAATTGGAAGGAGACGTGGACCTAAGAAACAGTTGTTATATCTATCTGTTTTTATTTATTGTGTATTTATCTATCTAACTATTTGTCCACCTGTCTGTCCATCTATCTATCCATCCATCCGTCTGTCTATCTGTCCGTCCATCTATCTATACATCCATCTGTCTGTCTACCTATCATCATCTATCTATCAAATTCACAACCTACCCATTTCTTTCTTTCCTTATTTACAATACCAAAATTAGAGTCACTGAATTGCTAATAGAGAAAAAGACTTATGCAGGATATTGAGGGTATAACTGCAGGAAAAATGTCCTCAAGAAGATGAGAGGGATAGGGTGAGTGCACTGCTGGAGTGGCCGTCCCCTGGTAGGAGTATGGCCACCTCACGCATTGTCAACTCAGGAGGGAAACAGAGAGATGTGGGACTTAGTAGATTTTGGTCAAAAGATCAGTGGGTTCTGTCTGTTGGCTTCTGTTTCCTCCATGACAGGTAAGGTGAGGGAGGCAGCGGGAATTCAGAGAAAGAAAAGTGTGCAGAGGTGTGGGTTTTAGAGAAGATAAAAAGAAGGTATAGAATAGTCATTTTTGAGAGTGGAAGAACCAAGTTACTGAAGAAAGGATGATTATTTGGAAATATTGAGTGCCCATTGTGAATTTGTGGTCAAGAAATTTAGCGTGTCACAAAATCAGTATGATATTATATTTTCCCCCAGATTCTCTGTACTTTTGTTAACAAAAGATTGAAAAATACTGAAAACAGAAATTTCCTCAGCAATCATTAAGGTTTTTATGTTAAAATGTGATTTATTATTGCTGATAACAACATCATACTTTGATAGATGGCAGTATATACACATGCCATAATAATACTTATCCAGCCCCTGATAATGCTTAGTGCACTTTTGTAGTTTTATTTTTTTTCTGTTTGGATCCCAGCTCCAAAAGCAATCCTGCTATCCCACAGAGATCTGAATACCGTAAGTTTAGAACTAATATTATCATAGACTAGTGAAGCGTGAGGGAGCATAGAAATCATGAAGTTTGGTGGTTCTTCCATTTGATTTATCATAATCATCTAGGGGAGTTTAAAAACAAATAAATACTCCAAAGATCTCTGCAGATCTATGTGAGTTTCACTAGGGTAAAATTAGAGACAGAGTCTCAAAACCAGTCAGAATTCTTTGCATGTCACCAAATGAATCTCTCATTAGACAATGGAGAAATACTGATTTGTTAATTTGATAATTTCCTGTATCAGCAGATCAGGTCATAAAATCTTGCTCTAATGAGAAACTAGTTTGAAAAAGAAAACATAAACAAAATCATCAACACAATTACTATGAAAGAGTGCACCTGAAATGGCTGAGATGTTACCATAATTGAAAATGTTTAGAATCAAGAGGACATTCCATAGTCCCAATATTCTGTATGACTCCTCTTAGATTCTTAGGTTTCTAAAGGTAGAAATTGTGTCTGAATTCTTGAACTCTGATGTGGTATTGCATGGTGGGCAACTGCAGTCTTGATTTCCAGTGCATGGTGAGTCTCTGAATTTTCTCCCATTTTTATGAACTGTGTGTGACACTTTTTCAGTATACTTCTGCTCTGACCTATGATGCCGTACAAGTGATGACTGAAGCTTTTCGCAACCTACGGAAGCAGAGGATTGAAATCTCCCGAAGAGGAAATGCTGGAGACTGTCTGGCCAACCCAGCGGTGCCCTGGGGACAAGGTGTGGAGATAGAACGGGCCCTCAAGCAGGTCAGTCACTTAGCATGATTGTAAATAAACTCAACAATGGCCACTATTTTTCCCTGCTGAATTAGTCATTCTCGTTTTTATCTCTTATGTTTTGAGCAAAGGGAAAATTATTTCCTAACTATACAAAAGTCCCTTGGAAGATTGAGAAGAAACCTGCTAAGTGTCTTTTTCTTGACTTGCACTCCAGGAGAGTCATCTGGTCAACCAGTTTGTAGCTGTTGAAGTGAATTTCTAACTGTGTTCTTTTCCCATTTCCTTACTAGGTGCAGGTTGAAGGTCTCTCAGGAAATATCAAGTTTGACCAGAATGGAAAAAGAATAAATTATACAATTAACATCATGGAGCTCAAAACAAATGGGCCCCGGAAGGTAAATCATCAGTGGTGGGAAGGCAGTTCTCTCTGTGTGAGGAGGAGGGTGAGAGAACCCATCGCCTCTTCTTCCAGAGTCCTGGAGACATATGTTCCCATAGATGGAGTTCAGCAACTTCCAGAAACATATATTTTAAAATATTTCTTTTCTAAATAAAATCTATGTATTTCTGGTACGTGACACTGAAATTAATTTTAAAATAACTATGAATAGAAGTGTCATACTTTTTTAAAGACAAAGGTAGAAACAGAGTTTAATGAAAAGAAAAAAACTATTGCTGAAGGGTTATGATTCAGAAGACTTAATGCACGTGGTGCTGATGTGCATGTAACAGTCCAATTCCATATTTTTTTTCTTCCGTTAGGGCTAAAATGCCATTGTTTGGATTTTATTTGTGATTCTATATGATCAACTCCCCAACGCACTATCTTTGGAGAATGTGAAAAGTGATCACAAAGAGACAAGCTGTTTCTAAGAACTGTTTTGTTTGTTGGTTTGATTGGTCCCTTTCTACTCCTCTTAAAGTCGCAGAGACAAACAAGACACATCTCTATTTAGAAGCAGCCAAGTAACGCAGGTGTCATTTCAGATTCAGATGTGGGTTTGGCAGTAATTCAGTGCTTTCCCAATTGAAAGTCACGTAGCCACGAGCCCACCCTCTGTTCCTGTTTCAGATCGGATACTGGAGCGAAGTGGACAAAATGGTTGTCACCCTCACCGAACTCCCTTCTGGAAATGACACCTCTGGGCTTGAGAATAAAACTGTTGTCGTCACTACAATCTTGGTAATTAGCGACACACACCTATGCTTCACACTAATTTTTCTTATGAAAAATATCTGTCAACTGAAATCACTGCTTACATTTCAGGACAATAACTGATATGGTGCTGCTTTTGAATGCTTTAGTCATTCACTGCATGATGACTGTGCCCAAAAGACCACGCACAAACATGAGCTAAAGCATTCAAAATATCTGCTGTCCTCTTCAAGGTGGGACTTTAGCTTCATAGATTCATACCTGGTGCTCACACGGGGGAAGACCTAGGGCAACTCTGGAGAAGTCTTCCTGGAATTTCCTCGGGTGTCTCATCTTCTCATTCCCACACAATTCTGGGTCCATTCTGCCCTTACATCTGTTACATAGTTTAGCAATGCTGTCACCTTCTCTTGCTTCATACAGAAAGCTAAACTCCTTAAAGACAGGGCTGATCTCCCTTCTTTTTAACTCCAAATCTCAACATAGTAGTTGACACATAGCTGATGCTTGAAAAATGGCTTTCAGATGACTGAGACAAAATTGAACTGGATCGTGACCATCGAGGCTTTGGACAGGTGGAAGGTCTCTCCATGTCATGCAGGTCCTCGTGACAGGCTGTGGGTGAAATGAAACGGGGAAAGTGGGGCTCGCTGATAGTATGTGATGTTGTGACAAAACAATCTTATTTTGTTTTACCAAGCTGTGATGTAGTAAATCTGGGGAATTTGTCAACATAACAATATTGAGAAGAAAATATACATAGTCTGATATGGGATTTGGGTAAGAATGCTGGTTGGCACTGGAATATCTTGATGCAGGCTAGACATTTGAGGATTTTGGCCTTAATCGTGCCACTGAGAGGAACCATCTCACTGAGCCTCCGCGTATCCTTAGCGCCACTTTTCAGTGGAGAATGTTGGGCTGGTGTTGGGTCATTTTTTCCACACTTCCTCTTTATGATGTTTACAGGGGAAGCTGCTCTCTAGTGCTCTGTGTAGCGTAATTCTGGGATATTATAATTCATAGAGGAGGTGAGGGCTCAAGCCTGGGAGGGTGGAATCAGCGCATCACCACGGCAGTGACTCTTCCGGTCTGCACGTTGCTCACCTGAACCTGATTTTCACATGAACTTTGTCCTCAGGCTGGTAGTGACTCAGGGTTTTGGGGTGGATGCAGGTTCTCTAGGGTCTGGGTAGCCTTGTAGAAAAGAGAGTGGGTGGATCCAGAGTTGAATGGGCCAGATGTAGAGTGACGTGACTCCTCTCTAAGCCCTCGGGATTGCAAACATGGTGGCGGGACAGAGTAACAGTTTTGTGCTGTTAGTCTCTTGTTTACTTTGGTATGCCTGGGTACAAGGCATATTAGTGAGATATAATGATTGACATTTGAGAATTTTGTTAAGAAGCACTAATTTTTTCCCACTCATATTATCCACTATCTATATTCTCCAGGATCTCTGGCTAACAGGTAATAATTAAACCAGAAGATTGGAGTCGATGAGAGTGGCTGATTAACACAGCCATTTTTTTTTTAATCAACTGAAGCACCGTCTTTCCATATAGGAATCTCCATATGTTATGATGAAGAAGAATCACGAAATGCTTGAAGGCAATGAACGCTACGAGGGATACTGTGTTGACTTGGCTGCAGAAATTGCCAAACACTGTGGGTTCAAGTACAAGTTGACGATTGTCGGGGATGGCAAGTATGGGGCCAGGGATGCAGACACGAAAATTTGGAATGGGATGGTTGGAGAGCTTGTCTATGGGGTAAGTACCACTGTTCTCAAGGATAAAGTCATTCAGTGTGAACTCTTGTTGACAGAATGCTTGCCCCCCCTAAAAAGTCCCGCTACCTGAGGTAGTTGGTTTCCTACACTACTCTAGGAAGAGTGTTTTGTTTCCTTGTGACATTTGAAGATGCAGGATGAAGTCAGAAGCAAACGTGCAGTTGGCGACAGGCTTTTTACTGTCTGGAAGCCTAGGGGCCATATGCATTGTTCCAAGACCGCAAAGGCACGGATGCAGACATAGCTTTTATAATCGAGGCAGAAGGGTGTGCTCTGTATTTATAAAAAGGAGGGATATTTGGCGGGGAGTGGGGAATGGCTCTTTTTCGGTTTGTTTTTTACTGAGATTCTGCCAAGGAAATAATATTTCCATTTCCTCAACTTCCTTTCCTTCTCTCCCATCCCGAGATGTAACCACAATTCCTTTCTGACCACGACTCTGGGCGCTACTCCTTTCCTTTGTTTCCCTTGCAGAAAGCTGACATTGCAATTGCTCCATTAACCATTACCCTTGTGAGAGAAGAGGTGATTGACTTCTCCAAGCCCTTTATGAGCCTCGGGATATCGATCATGATCAAGAAGCCACAGAAGTCCAAGCCAGGAGTGTTTTCATTCCTTGATCCTTTAGCCTATGAGATCTGGATGTGCATTGTTTTTGCCTACATTGGGGTCAGTGTGGTTTTATTCCTGGTCAGCAGATTTAGCCCCTACGAGTGGCACACTGAGGAGTTTGAAGATGGACGAGAAACCCAAAGTAGTGAATCAACTAATGAATTTGGGATTTTTAATAGTCTCTGGTTTTCCTTGGGTGCCTTTATGCAGCAAGGATGCGATATTTCGCCAAGGTTGGTTACTTACCTGCTTCAACTTTGTGCATTTTAGGTCTCTAGTGGCTATCCATGGTGTTTATGAATTCACCCTCAAGAAGTTGGCAGCTGCCGACTGCCTGTCCAAGCAGCGCAGTACTCTTAAGGACAGGCTCTTACCGTCGGCGTAAGCCTGTGAAATATTTGAGCAACGTTCTTCGAGTGTTGAGCTTGTATTTCCCTGGTGAAATTATACACACCGTGGAGAGGCTATAAAATGCATAAGGTTCCTCTCATTCCATGCCTTCTTGGAGGGGTACCGTGTTTTTGCTGCATATTCTCATTTTACAGTCATCTGTGTGTCGATTCACAGACCTGTATATGGGAAAATGGGCAACATGACTGATTAACTCCAAAAGCCACAAAACCTCATTTGCACACTTCCCATCCCTGTTATTTTTCTGCTCTTAGCTCATGGAAATGATATTTATAAAATTTGGTTTTTCTTTAAAGGTTAAGTTGTTGTATTAAAAAGGCTATACGGTAACATATTTTCCGAGTGTCTCGAAATACATAGTTGGGTGATAACGATGGCTGATTCATTACGAAAAGTTGTGCCACGTTGAAGAGTAATACACACAGGATGGAATAAACTCAGACACCTCTCATCTCATTATGACATTTTAATTCCTGCTCTAGAATGCCTGAGTATAATGAATAATGAATATACCACAGAAGACATATTGCCTTTGTTCATGTTACATACGTGAATAAGAAAGAGAGCCTTAAAAAAAAAAGAATGAAAAGAATGATAGCCTCATCTGGTTCTTCAGAGGAATAAATCAGACTTCTTCTGATGTGACTGTTTTCACATTTAAAGCCTAAGTGATTATCGATCTACTGGCACATTTTCATTTGGGCTCAATTATCCTCCTTTGAGTCTATGGAACATTTTAATAACTAGCAAAGGCAGTGATTTTTTAAAGTACAATTTCATTATATTGTTAGCTTTTGAGCACTTTGAGGATAAAAACTGATTCATTTCAGAAAACTCTATGTGAAGCTCTCAAGTTTGTATCTTTTAGCAATCTTCTTTGTATACTCCACCCAGTGAGTTAAAGAAATATGTGTGCAGAAATTATCAGTAACTTCCCAGAAAGCAGGGCACATTTTTAAGAATTATCTGGATCCAAACAATCTTCATTCCATCAAATTCCTTGTGGCTTCTCTATGGAACTGCACTGAATTAGAACTACACCAGTGGCATTTGCATGGCATATATACACACAGAAATATGATTTTAATATATAATAATAATTCTATATAATATATAATTATGATGACTTCTGACAAACTATATAAGACTCATAGTTTCATTTCTATATTTAGCTTATCTGACTTAAGGTAAAGAAAGAAAGAGAAGTTTCTAATGATGAAGGAGGAGAATACTAACCAGATTGGAATCTCAGAGAACATTCTGGTTCATAAATAATAATGAAATGATTCATCTTTAGTAAGAAGTATACTGTTGCCCAAGTCCTGAAATGTAAGGCAGTTACCCTAGGGTTGCACACGCTGTACTCTGCCTTTTGAATGAGGAGGGGCAATGCATGAGGCTTCATCATGCAGTAGAACATACTGACCTGGGTTCCCACCCACGGACCCTCCTGTGTCACGGCTCTGAAGGTCGATTTGGTGTCCAGTGCTTGTAAGGAGCAGAAGGCATATTTACCCATAGGGGCTGGAGCACAAGGCACATTTAACCATCTGTGCTATCCCAGGGTCCACCATGACATATTGACATGCTAATTTTCAACACGCCTGCTTCCTAAACTGTGACTTTTTCCTGCGCTTCTAATTTCATTCCTGCATCATGACTCACTCATCAATACCAAGTGTATTACTTTTTTATTCCCTGGTAAGATAAATCAGTTTTTGAAAGTATATTTTTCCTCGTTATCAATTGGGTTTTTTGGCAAAAATTCACTTTATTAAAAATCTTCAGATATGTCTTTCACTGTATCGTATATATGCATTTAAAAATTGAATCACTACATAACAGTGGCAAATTTAGGGATTTTTTAAATGGACTAAACTATCACTCTTTTTTAGAATGCAATGATGTTAATTCTAGTTTATGAAAGAGTAGAACAGCTTAATATCTAAAAAAATTATTGATACAATGCATGAATTACACAGATCCCTTTAGAGATGCTCTTTAAATATTTTAAAAGATATTTATCATCTTTTTCCAAATAAAATATGATATGGAACTACATTATTAATATGAATAGGACACATTTAAATTTTAACCTAGAATGACTTATTGAAGTGAGCAGGTCATTGCCTGAAATTAAGTCTGGACTTCATTACCTACAGTTTTGTGAAGACTAGAACCACAGAGATGGTGGGAACAGAATGTTGTAAACTTGACCTATTGTCCTGCTTGCTTCTGTTTTCCCCCAATATCTTTAAAATATTCAAATGATTAAAAAATGACATTCTTGAAATTATTTAATAGTGACTAAAAAGAAATGGTAGAATATGTGCATTTATCTGCTCCTTTACTGCAGCTACTGAGAGATAGAAGTTTTGTTTTAATTAGAGAAACCATTCTTGCCTGTAACCATAAAAAATAAAATTGAATTTGCTTCTCTGCATAAAACTTCTCAGAAACTCTTTCAGAATCATTAATTGATACTTGGAGGACACTTACAAGTAAATAATAAATCACTCAAGAATCTTCTGTTTTAAATGATGCACACGTCCAGTAAACTTTTTAATTTATCTTCCACACCTTAAATAAATTGGCATATTTAGTCTCATTAAATTTGATGTAAGCACTGGAAAAGAGAATGACTGATGACTTTAGTGTTTATTTTACAACAGGGACATAATGATTTATTAAAGTGATTCTGAAATACATTGCAAAAAAAACATGCAGTATATAGTGTCAAAAGCAATTAACAAGCGATCAGTTTAGTTTTAAGGAACTCGAGTGGTCAGGTACCAGATCTGCCCTCTTGAATACAGGGTACCTATCATATAATTTTACCTTCCATGACTGTGGAATAAATAGTGAACATTTGGAGAGTGGCTGGGCCTCCTTAGGGGTGTTCCAAATTTAGATAGTATTTAATGTCCTTTTCAGAATACAAGTGAGAAATGTTTAATGTTTTCCATTCTATCGTATTTAATTCTTTGCATCTCTTAGAGACCATGGTAAAGGCTCTTAATTATATTATTTTTGTTTACCATAGTTTACATTCTCCTTTTTCTTTTATTTTAGGAACAGATGTTTTCATCTAAAAGAGCTTTACTTTTAGCTTCACTCCTGTTTCTTGACTTCTTGAGTAGTTTCTTCTACAAATATTGCCTAATGATTGGATGTAGTATCTATGATTTGTCAAAAAGTCGCATTTCTGATTATTAATTGCCAGATTAATTTAGGCCATAAATTGCCACATTGTCGTGATTTAAATTTTTAGAAGTGTTACCTCTTCACTGTAGGAAGTTTAATTGCTAGACACGGCAGAGTTGTTAACAAATGAGAAAAAAATTTTATATTGGTTTGCTAATATTACTCAAATGCTTTTATATGTAGAACCCCACCAAACCTTTACAAATAATACAGTACATATCTCTTTCTGTATCTACATGTTTCTGTTTACCTACCTAGGGTTTAAAATAAGTTATTGGGAATCTGTCAAGCTTTTGAAAAGTGTTTTATGTAAGGATTTATGGTCACAGAAATATTGTTATTTTCATTCCCTTTCGAACTAGGAATTTATGTCTTGGGAACCTTTTGCATGTCTGATTTGTTTTCCTGGACTTTTATTTTATTTATTTATTTTTTCTTAAGCAGGAGCCATAAAGGAACAGGGTCATAGCATTCCTGCCCTGAAGCATCAGATTTCTATTCATTAAGAATTATATTTTGTGTCATACCTTTGTTTGTAGGATCAACTTTTTCACATTTCTGTCCTGTCTTAGATCTAAAACCTATGTTTTTGCACACACAAAAACTTAATGAAATTTTGGACCTTTCTGAGGCTTTTGGAACTTCCTTGAATTAAAAGGAGAGTTTCATCAGGGTTTAAAACTGTTTCTCAATGGTGCCTACTCTTTTATTTTTAATATTTGACTTTGTCAATATCGTTCTGAGTTATGCTGTTGAACTTAGATTCTCTTGTTCATATCTGCTTACGTCATGAGTGGATAAAGTAGTATGAGCTTGGGTAGATTATTTGCGCATTTCTTGAAATTGCCTGTTACAAGATTTCCTACTGTAAACTATTTGGCCGTTCTACCTGTGAAAGCAACTCAGGGATCTGAAGTTCTGCCGTTGGGTTGCCCATCAGATCTAGCGAATCAGTGGTTCCTTGCTCAGGACACTTGCTAATTTCAAGTCTCATTAACTAGCAGATACATTGCGAGGTATGACGTTAACTATTCCCGTGTAAGTCAATGTCTGCATAATGCTGCTAACGTGTTGTCTTATCAGGTCATTGATTTCCCTTTACGAATCCATTTCGTGCTTGTTGTCAGATCCCTCTCTGGGCGCATTGTTGGAGGTGTGTGGTGGTTCTTTACCCTGATCATAATCTCCTCCTACACGGCTAACTTAGCTGCCTTCCTGACCGTAGAGAGGATGGTGTCTCCCATCGAGAGTGCGGAAGACCTCTCTAAGCAAACGGAAATTGCTTATGGAACCTTAGACTCCGGCTCCACTAAAGAATTTTTCAGGGTAAGAGATTCCGCTTCGTCACTTCTGATTTCATTCTTACTGAACCTATTCAATTTTGTGTCCCCTTGCCCCTCCCGGGGTCTCTACAAAGGTGCTCTGCGACAGTAACTTCCATCTCTGTCTCTAACTCTGTTTCTGCTCTTAACCTGGTCTCTACCCTCTCCCTCCCCACCCCCATCTCTCCCTCCTTTACTGATTCCCCACTCCTTAGGAGGAAAGACACTATGCTTTATAAAACTTGATTGTCCTTTGGGAACAAAATGGAAGCAAAGCATAGTTAAATTTAGATGATTATTTTTGAAAGAAAAGCGTGTTGTAGTTCGTTTTATGTTAAGTAAGTCTGACTGCCATCTTTCAGGCATAATTTCCAGTTGAAAACGCACTTTCAAATAAGTTATGTGAATCTTGTGTCAGGTTACGTTCATATGTGGAAATTCTGAATTTCCTGTCAAACCCTCCAAGAAAAGGCTAACAAAAGCCTTCGACTTTCTAACTTTTTAAAGTGCGTAGCGTGATTATAATGGGTCTATTAAAAGTATTTTAATTTTTAAAACAATTGTGGGCTTAAGGTCTCTGTTTATAGGAACCAGCCTAGTCAACTGATATTGATATTATTTTCTTTCATTATACTATTATCTCTGTATAAAGGCTCATTCTTTTAAAATGTTTAAATGTAGCAGATAAACTTTGGTATTAAGCCACATACATGGTATACGATTCTCTCCGAACGTATCTGGGTTTGTTGGCGTGAGATCCAAGCCAGTTTATTCCAGAATTAGGATTAGTATGGCAACTTCTGGTCGATGTAGTAGACTGTAATTTCTCATACTATACCGCCCTGGTCTCTTTTGCAAAGGGCTTCAGTGGTGCTCCAGCTATGGTAGGAGAAAAAGTGGGGTTGTCAGACCGCTGCCAACAGGTGACAACTGGGTACGTGTGGGGAGGGCGGGCTCCGGGCCTCCATCGAGCACTGCGGTGGTAGCGGAGAGGGTGGTCAGTCTGTCAGCAGCTGCTTTGATTTTAACGCTACAAATGAATGTTGTAATACAGATCTGCTGCTAGTGAGAATTGGCTCCTACTTTGGGACATATGATGTAATACGCACATAGTTAAAAACAGAAAAGAAAAAAGAAAACACGAAAGAATATTGCATGATTCTCCGTGAGAAGTGTACTTTAGAACGTGCTACAGTGATTTGCATCCCAATTGGGCTTGCTTTTATTTCGTTTATATATTTTATTCATTTTCCTCCGTCTTGAAGTCAGTGAGATCCATGAACCAGGCAGGGACTTACGATAGCCTGGCTTTCTTAGTGCTGCTTATACGGATGAAAATTATCTTAACTGTTTCCAGACACTGTCTGATGAGAGGTACTGTCATCAGCTTGTTTGGACAGCAGGGGTACCAACTATTCTCGACAACGGCACCTTCAGGACCCCAGAGCTTGTCAGTAGACGTAACTCAGTCATAGACACGTGCCTTCGTCACCACGATGCTGAGAGTCCATGTTCATAATACTCCAGTTTCCCGGTAGACAAAATGGGAAGCTTGGATGATTCTGAGCAAAGGATGCTGCTCCTCCTGTGTTTCAGCTCACAAGCCCCCGCACCACGTTTCCCATGCGCGGTACACACACGCACGCACGCACGTGTGCGCCAATGCAGCTGGGGTGGCCATCTGCCAGTCGCCTGTATACGATGGTGGAGCTTACCTTCCCTAGAGTAATGGAGGAGTGATGTTGAGCATTTGGGTGAGCCGGTAACTTTTATTCGTGTAGCGTCCCTAAGAAGTGCCCTATGCATCATCTCTTTGAATCCCACAACATTTCTGCCAGGTGGTCGGGGTGACTGCGTGGGGTGCGTTATTAAACTGAAGCTGGGACAAACGCGGAGATTTGACCACATTCTAGCCGATAATTAGTGTGCTGGGGACTTTCACTCCTAAAGGGGTCTTTCCATACCCTGTTTTTCCTTGCAGAGAAAAGTCTCTGGATTTATTTCGCTTCTCTCCTGCTCTGTTTAGCTCACATCACCTTTGCTTATGTAATGTTAGAGAATTACAGTGGTGGAAATCCAGGCAGGGCTTCAGAGTTCCTCCCAGCATACGTTCAAAAAGGAACGTTGCTGGACCAGCGTTGGCTGGTCTCAGTGCATACATTTTGTTGCCAGCTCCTCCTTGTGTAGAGAAGGAAGGGTGTGGACTCAAAGGGCTAGAAAACCCACACTATTCATCCTGTTCATACCAATAAAGAGAAGCAAAAACAAAGCAGAACAGCACACACCACCAAAGTGCATAGGAGCTTGTCATGTTAATTCCTCCATTCACACATGGCCTGGCTGTGATTTGGGAAAGCATGCACACAAAAGGCATGTTTCTTGAAAAGCTGGATTAAATAAAAAGGTGTTGCTAAGTCATGAGTGATTCTGAATAGTTTTGCTAACTATTAAATAGTTTGACCATCGTGGTACTAGCGAGGGAGGTCTTAATCTGGCTTCTGACTCTCACGAATAGTCCCAAGGGTGCCCTGGCTTTGCAACCATACTCATCACATCTCATACCTTCACACAGAGAGTTTATGGCTTTGGTATGTGGAGACTGAACAACAGATTCCCTTTTGCAAAAAGAAAAATAATTTCTCCTCACAGAGTGTTACTTAAAGTGTATTGAATAAGAGGAGGCTAATTCATAGACATCATAAAGGCAAAATAAAACTTTTATTCCTGTAGCTTCCCAAAGCAGTGTCTTCTGCATCATCTCTTTGAATCCCATGATATTTCTCCCCTGAAATTTTCATTGACATTTTCCCCTTGAAATCCTAGGTGACTGCTTTCTGTCTCTTAGCTGTTGTCTGGTTGAATTTCTAAGCCGTTGGTAGCGAGGAAGTTTTCACTGCTTCTATTCCTAGAATGAACATCCCCTCGCTTCTTGGGGCGTCATCTCTGTCAGCTGCTCTTTGGCTTCAGGTGTGTTTGGCGTGGATTCAGGACAGGGTGAAAGCTGGGAGACTGACTGTTGCGGTGCCCAGGCTGTCAGGAAGGCGATGCAGATGGAGGAGGCTGGACCCAGACTAGAGACACGCACTGTAATTTTTGTTCTCTGGCTGTTCTGTTACATTGACATCTGAGACAGCTGATGACACGTGGAAGAAAAAACTTCCACCGGTTGCTAATATTTAAAGTTCTAACCATTAGCTTTTGTGTCCTAATAGGGCTTTATTCAGCTTTATTGATCGCTTTTTCTTTCTTAGGCTGCTTATAAAGACACGTTTTATTATTTTTACTATTTTAAACTTTCTGCTCTCACAGTGTTTATCATGTCGCCTTTCTCATTTTGTCATAGCAAGAGCTTTAGACTTAGCCATTGGAGAAAATGATTTGAGAAGTTAGGTCCTTGTTTAAATTTTAAGGATATATATAGCTAGCTGAAAGATGAAAAATAACGTGTTTAAGACATTTGCCGATTAAAGGGCCAGTTTAAAACAGAATTCAGAGTCCTGAACGCCTAGTCTTTTGTCTCAGTGTGAGTGTTTCCTAAAGATGTATCTTTGTTGGGATGAAAGCATCTTGTATCAAATTATATGAGATTATAAGATGAATATTTAAGCTGATTTATAGGGATATGGTTTGTCCCCAGGTGATGACAATTACTCAATTTCAATCAAAAGTGTTTTCAGATTTCAGGTACATAATTTAATAATAAGCTGGGCACTATTAATATTGCTTTAGTGAAGTCACTGGGAGTGCATTAGTTTTAGAATTCCAGTTTAAGCTGTATATTTTCTAACTTAAAAATCTTACGCTCCTTCAGTGATAATCAGGGAAACAAGTACAAATGAGATACTCACTTTGTTTGCTGGAGAGAGGGAGAGGAGATGGAGGGCAGTCTCGGCACCCCCGAGCGGTGTGGGAAATAGATCCTGCATCTTCACGTCCCAGTTTTCTGCTCACGGAAGCACGTGCATCCGTGCACGGAGCGGCTGATGAAGTCTGACTCACTTGAGAAGGATCTTCCCTAATGATAGCACCACTGTAACATACCTACAATTAAGAAAGAATGAGGCTTTCAATGATACACTGCTATTTTTAGGCCTTCACATTTTGATAATTTCTTCTCTCAATAAAAGAGGACAGATCTCAGATTAGATGAGTCTAAGTAGGTGGTTTTGTAGGAACAATGTGCATTATATTCCCGTAGAAAGCTGGGTGTGGGGGATGGACAATGGCTTTCTAAATAAACCTCTCATTAGCCTGTCAATCCATGGAACAAAGTGATTAACTTGCAGAAAAGAAGTACTTCTTCCTGCCTATCCTGAATGCCCCGCATTGCAATCTCTTTCTTCCCTCTGGATCTCTCTGGGAGGATGAGGGACAGAGTGTGCCTCTAGTAAGTGATCTGCTTTAATTATGCTGGCCTTAGAAGGAATAGATTCTGAAATACTGTCAAAATAAAGCTACTTCCCTTCTTATTTTGAGGGAGGAAGGAGAGGAGGTAATTAGATTTTTTTAACCAAGCTACTGGGGATTGAGCCCAGGACCTCGTGCAGGCTAAGCACACACTCTGCCACTGAGCTATATCCTCCCACCACCTTACTTAATTTTCTTTTTACCCTGATGGTATCAGTGATGGAACAGACTGAGTTTTCAGAGGAGCTTCAAACCGTCCACAGGCAGTAACTCCAACCTGGATGGGGGTGGCTGGGTGTTCAGGAATAGTTTTAGAAGTACGGTGTGTTTTTCAGAATTATTTGCAAGTTTGTCTTATCAAGAATAAAATCTTATTTAGCAGAAGGGGGAAATGTGTTAAGCAAAGTGATGCAGCTGTACAGCCAAATTATTATTTTATTTATTTAATTTTTTTTTTCTGCGAGCACTGGGGATTGAAACCAGGACCTCATGCATGCTAACATGTGCTCTACCCCTGAGCGGTAACTCCCTCCCCCCGTTCCCCTTCTTACTTAATACAGTTAATTATTCCATTCTCAGAAGATCAGTTTAGTCTGA